TACAGGGAAAGAAATTTGATCGAATTTTATAAATTTCTGAACTCTGAGTAATTTCCAGATTTAAAGAAATTTGCTTGTAAATTTATCTCCATTTTTGGGACGACATATCTGTGTGAACAAACTTTTTCCAGATGAAGTACATCAAGTCGAAATACAGGGCAAATTTATCCGATGAACATTTAAAGTCTCTACTTGTGATTAGCGTTTAAAAATTTGAACCTCACTTTAATCAGATTTTAAGATTGCAAAAAGAGTTCCATCATTCACATTAATTGTTTTATTATAATTTGTGATGAAAATATGAGCATTTGCTGCTACTGCCTGTTGTCATTAATATATGATAATTTATTCTCCTGTACTTTGTATTTAGTTTATGAAATTCTGTGCTTTCAGTAAAACTCATATACCTAGAGTTATTAATTTCTCATTTTATCCGGCCCGTTGAAAGTGCTGAATTACCTAATGTGGCCCGCATTTCGAAAAGTTTGGAGACCCCTGGTCTACCCAATATTGATTCGTGATCCACCAAAAGACTGTGATGAGTGTCTTGCCCAGCCCTGCTTTTAATCGTGTATTCGAACTGCATACGTCTTAAGTAAATAAAGAATGAAGCCCTCATGGTGACCAAATGGAATGAAGTCTTCTTTATTAGTTAGCCATATTTATATGAAATATAATTTCACAGACTCTGTACTGTTTCCATTATTAGGAATCAGTTTTATGAGTGACACAAATTGGCCCGTATTTCAGTTCAACTAACAGCCCACTTTCTATTGGCTTAGAATCAGTGATACAGAACAGATGGCAGAGTACAGTGGTCACCTGTTCCACTTCATTGCATTTGTTCTTCTGTGTAGTTACATATCTCATATCACAATATTTTTACAACTTTAGAGGTAACTGTCTTCTGTGATGTGTTGCCATGAATATTTTCATCTAATTTATTTGTGATGAGATTAATGATGCTATTAGTAGCTCACATTCCAGCATCACGGTAGAATGATTGGTGATTAATGAACAGAAAAGAAGTGGTTGTGACATAGCTTGAGCTGTTGTCCTGGCATTTGCCTAGAGAGACTGAGGACAATCACAAAAAGTCTCAGTCAGGATGACTGGTGCCCTGCCAAGATTGAAATTGGGACTTCCCAAATAGAGTTCTGAAATGATGCCACTTGAGCCAACTTGCCTGGTCCATGGCACTATTTAGTGTGTACATATTTGCTGATGTTTCAGAGGAATATGATGCCACCATCTTGAAGGTAGAAGACTCCTACACACTTTGAAGATGGAGGCAGCATGTTCCTCCTAAACACTAGTAAATGTCTACTATACTGTGATGTTGGATCCCAGAAGACAGTAATCTTCATAACCACCACCGTGAGACAATCACATTTCACATTGTTATGAACTGTTGTTAGGCTCAAGTCCAGCTGTTAAAGAACTCATTGGCAGCACTGAAAGAAGAGTGACGGAGGTTGGATCTGGTATCTATCCCACCCGCTGACATCTCTGCATTTGTCCAGTAGCTACCTACCAGCGGTATGCAACTTTGTGATGTGACGTCTGTGGTGGTACGTTCAAATGTGCAGGAATATGGGAACATACCTGAAGAGAATGCTTGGATTCATACCCTTAAAATAGTTTCCTTGATAAATGGTACATCAGAAAGTTCATCAGATATGTCTTGATTATAAAAGCAATTAGCTATTTGTAATCAGAGATATGGCTGCAGGAGTAGTTAATGAACTATGAATTCCAAACATCCTCTTCAGCAGAAGAAAGAAATAATGAGTACATGAGAAAGTACATACACTATATAAACTACAGAGGTTGCGGTGGTGTTTTCATAGTTATGTATTTGATTTCTATATCTGTGGTCTCAAAATTATGTTTTTGAATTTAAATATGCTCTAAAAGCATAATAATATATTCTTGGGCTGAAGTTTATTTTCATTTTACTTTCTGTTCAGTCTTGTTTATCTTTTTATGAATTTGAACTTTGCTTTCCACAGTATCTTCAGCACATACAAATCATTATATACTTACACCTCCTGTGGCCCACCCATTTATACTGCTTAATGCTATGTAGTATTTGTGGAGTGGCATACCACAGAAAGTGATGGCTGAGTCATGTAATTATGTATAAATTTAAGAAATAAGATGAGAAATTTAAGTAGAATATCATTGCTGTGTTCTTTGTGCAGTTACATACATAATGTATGAAAGCTCTGTAAGTTGACCATTAAATGAAGTAATTGTATGTTTCATTACCATGTGTAATTACTAAAAATATAGTTTTCCATGACTATAATTTATGCAATAAATTGAATTCTAGTGATTGTTCTTTTGTTTTGGAAAGTGCAGAATTTTTATGCACTATCATATAAGATTGAGTTGAGTTGTGTATTCCATTGACTTATGAAAGGATATACAGTACTGAATTAAATTCCATTGAACTATAAAAGAAAAAGATACACTTCTTCATGTTCCTGCATGTAAATTCCTAATAATTTTATTGCATTTTGTATATTATGTTTTTGCATTCTTAATAATATAGCTTTGTTATCAGCACAAATATTATGTGCATTATCATGGGTATAAGAAATAATATGTTCATACAGGAAGGTATTATTGTTAAAATGATTCATCTTTTTTTTTGTATTTAAAGAAGTGTGACTATTGAGTTGGTATATAGGATTTCACAATGTAAATTTTCCTGCGCCAGTACTTGCACCTGGTATAATAATGATTAGAACACAGATAATGTTGTATGTTTATTATTCTGCTTTCCATCAACACAGTCTGTGTACAGATATACTATAGGTCAAAAGTTTAGAACCTGTTTAGTCTTTTGGCTATTATTAGGTACTGTACATGTACCTGTAACTTACCTGCTCTCTTCCCTACATGTTTACATATGGGTGTATCTTGTGTGTCGGTCATTTACATACTAGTGCAATGCCTTTGTACTCATCTTAATTACAATATTGTCAATATTAACACGTCAGATGTGTGGTTATGGTATTTCTTATTACTTGAAATGCCTAATTATAATTTGGCTGCGAGTCAGTAATCGACTGATAACTGGCAGAGACTTGGGAGATCTGTCTCTTTAATTAAAGCAAAGCATTGCGAGGACGCTGACACAATGTGATTTTTGCCCAGTGCTCTGAATGTCAAAAGTGAAGAAATTCAAGCAAGTGTAGGTGAACAGCAGGGGTATTTTTTTATTGCTAGTGGGATGGGACTAAGTCCCTTGTACTGCAGCTACTTCTGGCTTATTGTACCAGCCACAAATGATAGGTGAGGGTGATTGTGGAGCAATTGGTGGAATGAAGATTGGCAGGGGAAACTGAAGTACTCTGAGAAAACCTGCCCCAGTGCCACTTTGTCCACCACAAATCCCACTTGACCAGACCCAAGATCAAACCCAGGCCACAGCAGTGGGAAGCCAGCTTGAGCTATGGTGCAGCCAACAACAGGGGTAACTGATTCTGTTAAGGGGGAGTGACTGTGTTCGATTGGTTTCCTACTATGGGGTTGGCCACAGAAACACCTACGGTTTAGTGACTGGATGGGGTGTTGTCAGATGGCAATCTGCTTGGGGATGTGGGTTTGCTTCCTGAGAGATGGTCACTGCTGTGGGTGTCTATGTAATATATATATATATTGTTAATGGAAACCAAAATAATAGATATAATACAGCACAATATGATGCTACAATATAATATTTCTAATTATAGTGTGTCTGGTAAAATAGTGTGCATGTGTATTACACATTTTTATAAGCATACTACTGTCCATTTGGAACAAAAAACTAGTGAGAGCTAAGAAAAACGTTTAATGTACTATTTTTGACAATGAATATAGGACAGAATTTGTAATTATGTTGAAAATCTTGAAATAAAAAAGTGTTTCATTCGTTAAATTGTACATATGAAATGATTTGTTAATTATACATTGTATAATGTCTTCAAAACTTAGAAGTGCTAGAAACCCCTTTTTTTTACTCCAATGTAATTTCAGTAGCTTTAGAAGGAAGTAACCATGTTCTCGTGTCGAGTGTCAGAAGGTTGGTAGCTATAGCTTATGATACACATACTCTCACAGGAAATCTGATTCCATATGGACTTTATGACAAATAATAGCATAGAAAATGAACATGTTTTTACACTCAAGTTCTGTATATTGAGTTGTATTTGAAACGGGTCAGCATGGAATAGCACTGGAGTTGTTTTTCACCATTCTTAGTCAGCCTCTTTAATTGTTTTGATTCTAAATAATATATTAAAATAAAAATGTGGAAGTGAAATTAATAATGGTATTATTTAGTTGCTGGGAAAGCTATCCTATTACATATGCTTAGTTGTTTAGTCTGTGTGATGTGAAAATCATGCAGCTCTCCTTCCTGTCTCCTACCTATAGAAATTAACATGTATTAATTACATAATACGTAGTTTTAAAATGTTTGTACAAAAGCATGTTTCTTGTTTTCATATAGATGATTATGTTTTTCATATACAGCAGTTGGAATAAATAAGTAACAAAAGGTTATGGTTTCAGGCTGGAGGGAAGGGACCATTTCAGTGAAGTTACATGATGGAGAATAATGTTAAAAACATTCTTACAGAAATAGGATGTAAGGTTGTGGACTGGATTCAGCTTGCTCATTGTGTAGTCCAGCAGTACGCTTTTATGAGCATTTAATGAGAATTCAGATTACATAAAAAAATTAGCTGAGTAACTATAAGCTTCTCAAGAAGGATTCTGCTGAGTGGACAGTTATTGTACTTTCTGGTGTTTTTTCAAAAGCGCCTATTTTGTCATTTTAGTCCTAAAGTAACATTTTCAAAATGTGGAACCAATTTTGATGGAATTTGGTGCCATACACCTTCACTATGTCAAGTGATTTAATTTTGGGTTAGTGTGATTCATTTTTTGGGCGTGGGTGTACTGTTATATATGCTACAAGTTCTTTGACAGATGATTAAACTTGAAATGAGTATTATTGTGTTCATTTTATTTGAAGGGCCTAACTACATTTTTTGGTTTATTTTGTGAAGTATTCGTCTGCAAGAAAAGTTTTAGGTTTCCAGAAAAGCCCATGTTGTCACATATTTATGCAGACCTCACCTTCCAGTCAGTCAGCATGTTTTATCTCTGAAAATACTGAATGGTTTATTTGTGATGTAGAAATAGAAGGATGATAAAACTGACTGTAGTAATTATCATGGGATATCACTGCTATAAGGAGCTGGGATAGCACAGTCAATATAGCGACTGGCTATGGGCTGAACGACCGAGAGGTCAGAGTTCAAGTCCTGGTTGGGTCAAGAATTTTCACTTCTCCATGTTGTCCAGGCCAGCTCTGGGGTCCACCTCCTATACAATTGGAACCAGAAGCTCTTTCCCAGGGGTAAAGCAGCTGGGGCGTGAAACTGACCACTCACCTCCAACTAGTGCCAATGTCAAGAAAATGTGGATCTATACATCCACTTCCCCATACACCTTCATGGCATAGTGCTTAGTTAGTTAAGCACAGGGACAACTGTACCTTATCTTTTATCACTGCTATAATCCATTTAAAAAATTTTATCCAATATCCTTCTCTCAAGGTTTAGACTGTATATAGTACAGATGAGATAACTGGGGATCATCAATGTGGGTTTCGATGTACCAGATCAACTACTGATCAGATATTTTGCATTTGTCAGATACTGGAGAAAAAATGGAGCACAATGAGAATTCTTATTGCCTGTCAAAAAATATTGAAATTAGAATATACAAAACTGTATTCTGCCTGTGGTTCTGTAATGATATGAAACTTGGTCTCTGGTAGGGTGGAACATGGGTGTCTGACAACAGGGTACTGAGAAGAACGTTTGCACTGAAGAGAGTTGAAGTGATAGGAGGTTGGTGAAAACAAGACAGTGAGGAGCTTCACCAAGTATAATTAGAATGATTAAATCAAGGAGAATGAGATGGGAAGCCATGTAGCACAAATTGGAATGAATAGGAATGCATATAGGATATTGGTGGGAAAGCCAGAATTAAAGAGACCACTAGGAAGACCAAGATGTAGGTGATTTGATAATATTAAAATTGATCTCAAGAGAGAGATGATGGGGTGGTATGAACTGGATTGATATGGCTCAAGATAGGGACCCATGGAGGGCTATTGTGAATGTGGTAATGAACCTTTGGGTTCCATAAAATGCTACCTAGTTCTTGAGTAACTGCACAATTGGCAGCTTATCAAGAAGGGCTCAGCACCATGAAGTTACTTAAATATTTTTTAATTAAATAGAATAATTAAAGATATTCTGTCTGCTACAGAAAAGTATAAAGCATGTTGTAAAACATTGCGAAAGATTGTCCGTGTTATGGAAACAGAAGTTGCTGAGAAAAAAACATTCAGAATACACAAAAGACTTTACTAGTGGCTGGGACATTGAAGACATTTCAGAACAAGCCCAAAAAGTACTACGAATTCTATGGTAGATACACACCAAAAACCACCTAGAACTATACTAGACTACTTTGATTTTAATTAATTCGAAGTGTTTTTGCAAGTTGGATTTCGAGAAAACGTTTTGCATTCAAAGGCGACAATTGGTATAGTTTCCGTGCTTCATATGGCGAAGATTTGAAAATTGCCTGACATTATGTTTTTTTTCTTTGAACGTAATATATTCTTGCATCCCAAAGACTGTCGAAGTGTACAAAAATGCATGTAACCTATTTGAATGGCTGTAAATGCACCCTGAATTGCATTCGGTAGATACCTGATTTGAATCCTGGCGGTGATGGTCACGGTTGGTCACGATGGCTAATCTGCTATATTCACTGACCTCGACGTTCTTCTCGGTAATTTGCAGAAAATTGCTATTGATAGTTATGTTTATTTTTCATATCCATACCGTCGAGGAAAGCACTGATCACAAGTACAGCGTCTGCCTAAGCCTACTTGGTGATCCGTGGTATAAGTCTACGGAATACAGTGAACAGATACCTGAGGTGGTACAGAAGGTTCAGAACGTACAGAATGAGCCACAGACCAGCTGTCGTATAATACACAAGGGGTACCACTGCAGTTCTTGTTGATCCATGGAATGCATTGCATGCCGACTGTGGCGTCCTACGTTTCCTTTGACATGGTGACATGGTCATCTATTGGTTGATGGAGGTCGGTGTATGATGCGTGCGCAATTGTTGATGCGTGTGGGGACATGTCTGTCATTTTAAAATTCGTGTTGTGTAAGTATGGTTGGTAATTGACGTATCTTGAAGATTTTGATGTTCTGCCATTAGAAAAATTTTCAGTTCAGTTTTATTATTGACTAAGACAAATCTTTAACAATTAGTGTATGCATTTGTTTTTGGATTCGGAAATTGTTTTTGTTAGACTATGTTGAAAGAACTTTTGTTAGAACTTGAATTTGGTCATTGAATAATCTTGTAATGCATACGAGATTTGAGGTTTGTAAGTCGAAGAATGTTAAAGCTGCGGTCTTTTGATAAGTAATACGAAGAGTCATAGGTTACCACCGTGTTAGGCGTTTTAGGGGAACAGCTCGGCTACATTTTCAGGGTGGTTGAAATATGCAAGTCAAAATAGTTCCCCGAAGAATGATGCCTTGTTGGATAACTCGCAGTATGTGCCCATTTTCTTCTATAGATTTTGATGGAAGTGTTTCATGGTTTGAACGATGTTGATTAGGAACCGGCAATAGTGTTTTGTTATTTAATTAC